TGGAAATATAGTTCAGTGACAGAGCACTGCTGGGTTTGATCTCTTGTACCATTGGTGGTGGTGGGGAACAGATTTTATGTATGCAAATATACATATATGCACAGACACACATATAGAGACACACATATAGACACACACAAATACATATGTTCACATATATGGACACACACATATTTAAGTATATGTATATATACAAAGAATATATAATGAAGGTCCCTTAACTTACCACCTTCCTTAATAAGGCCCTTTGTGCCTCTCCTCATCACGTGGAACTCCAGAGCAACTTGACAGACACTGTCCCTCCCATGTGTGTCTTCCTTTTCCTTTTTTTTTTTCCTCTGTGTGTGTGTGTGTGTGTGTGTGTGTCTGGGGATTAAATTTAGTTGTGCTCTACCACTGAGCTATCTTCCAATCCCCCCTTTTTAAAATTTTGTTTTGAGATGGGGTCTCACTAAGTTGTTGCGGCTGGCCTTGACTTCGTGATCCACTTGCCTCAGCCTCCTGAGTCACTTGGATTATAGATGTGTGTGACCACTCATGTTTTTTTTTTTTCTTTTTGATATGGGGGATTGAACCCAGAGGCACTCGACTACTGAGCCACATCCCCAGCCCTGTTTTGTATTTATTTAGAGACAGGGTCTCATTGAATTGACTAGCATCTCGCTGTTGCTGAGGCTGGTTTTGAACTTGCAATCCTTCAGCCTCAGCATCCTGAGCCGCTGGGATTACAGGCCTGCAACACAGCAACACCTTGCCTGGCTCAGTGTGAATTTCTTTACACTTTTCTTATGCAAATGTGTCTATCGAAAGAGCTGTGGGGTCATTTTGCATATTTTAAAACTACATAAATCAACCAATTGCAGCCTTGGCTTCTTTGCACTGAATGGAGGGTGCCCAGCGGCTGGGGTGGCCCCAGCAGCTCTAGTCCAGTCACCTTCCCTGTACAGAATCCCACATGTGAGCACACCAGGCTCCTCTTACTCTGGTGGACGGTCAGGGCTGCTGTAGATACATCTGCAGGGTGGAGAGCTTCTTGTGCTGGCTGTGCACACCCCTTCCTAGATAGTGCCGCGTTCTCTGAAGCAACCCACGTGCACCTGCTGCAAAGGTATGTGGGTGTTCCTGTGACTGTTGTCCCTGCTCCAGGCTGCGGTGCGATGGTTAGGACAGAGCCACTCTGCAGTGTCTGAAATGGGCCGTGGGTGGAGCGTGGAGCTTTTGCAGGGTGATGGACGAGGGTGGAGGATTTTCAGGTAATCGTGTCCACCTCCCTACTGTGAGCACGTGCTGCTTCTCTGCTTCCTTCCACCTAGAGGCCCTCCTCTGTCCCCGCGTGGTGAACTCATGCCCACCTCCACCTGGCTTCTCTGCCCAGCGCGGCCTCCCACCTGCTTCCCGCCTCCATGACTAGTGCAGCCTGCTCCTCCGAATCGCTCCTTGCCTGCCCTCGCGGGCATGCAAGGCTGCTGCCCTAGGAGGCTTCTCTGAGTGTCGAAGAGTCAGAGCCCAGTGCTGGGCTGCCAGCTTGTGTGAAAACACGGGAGAGAGCAGAGGACCCTAGAGCATCCTGAGCAGAGCCTCCGCAGGGCCGTGTCCTGAGGGGCCCAGGAGCGCCCACCTTGGCTCGCCCGTGGCTGACCCTTGCTCTCTGGGTTAGGCCAGGCGCCCCCTCCCCCAGCCTGGGAGGCCTGGGCCTCCAGGCCTTCTCTCCTCCTCCTGAGGCCCAGTCAAGGACAGCCCCTGGGTGCTGAGGGGTTGTTGCAGGCGCTGGTGTCCTGCACAATGCCAGCATGCCCCAGGGTCAGCCGCTGTTCCTGGGCAAGGTCTAAGGTTCTTCTAAAATCAGGACTTGTGGCCTTCTCTGACCCTCCCCCCTTGGCCTCCACATGACCTCTGTCCCAGTTGGGCAAGTGCTGTCTCTATACTTCTTTCTGTGACTTATTTGACTATTTTGTTATGGCTTTTTTTGAGTCTCTTTTTGGCCGAGGTCAAGGACCTGTGGTTTCTAGCTTGTTTCACTAGTCCTTGGTACAACGTTGCCACTGAGTAAGTGACCATTAAACAGATAGACACTGGACACATGGGATGGAATCCAGACCTGGAGTGAAAACCTGGCATGTGGGGACCTCCTGTTCCTATGGAGTGCCTGCTCCACTCCAGAGAGCCAGGTGCTCCAGGCAGATCCAGGTGGTCTACCTGCAGCCCACGCTGTCGCACACACGCCCAGCGTTGCTCCGGAGCATGGTTGCCTCTGGTGGACACCTTGCTCCATTCAGAGCCTGGCAGGTGCTGCACTGTTTCTCTGTGAACAGGAGATCGAGAGGCCGAGATTTTTCTGGTGTGTTGTCCCTCTTCTTAACAGAGACCTGTTGGAAATGGCACCTCAGGGTGCCACTGCTGAAGAGTCTGGTGGATGTCAGCTCGTCATTCCTTTTCCAGTGCCACACCTAAGAGCTGGGATATGAGGAGCGGAGTGAACAGAGACTTCCTCTCCCTCGCCTCTGCAAGCGGCCTGCTGCTGGACCGCAGCTCTAGGAGCAGTAGGAACCCTGGGGGGTTCTCCACGTGGCCTAGACACACACCCTTTCCCTGGCCTGCTTCAGACTGCAGGCCGGCTGTGTGCTAATGACACAGCGCCACAGACTGGCCTGTTACCAAGAAGGAGGTCTATTGTGGCTATCCTCCAGTCTGAGGTCCAGGAGCCACATGGCCTTCTCCCTGGCAAGGTCTGGGGCAGCTCAGGGTGTCCCGGGGCTGGAGACGGGGTGCACACACGTGTTGTGAGGGGGCTCATCTGCTCACAAGTATCCAGTCAGAGGCACCACACAGATGATCTTCCCTGGTCCTAGTGACCACCCAAAGGCCCAATTCAAACAACCAAGTTCCACTCACCTTGCTGTTTCTTAGAAAGTTCTACCCAAATAAGGCAGAAGGGGAAGGATTACAAGGGATAGGTACCTGAAGCCACGTCTTGGTATCAGAGCTGGGACGACGCCCAAGTCACTATGAAGTGCAGTAGTGGATCAGAGACCCCTGCGTCAGGACTGGAAGGCGCGTTTCTTCAGAGCAGCTCCCACATTTAACATGACATCTGAAAAATCCACCCAGCTAAAGTGTTTTCTTTTCCCTCAATTAATACGATATTACCATATGGCAACTTTAAGGCATACCCAATACATTTTGGTTTAGATAGATGTTCAGTATAAGATTTATCGTTATTTTTAATAATTAAGCCCTCAAAAAATAGAACTGTCTTGAAATATGACACTAATTGGCATATGTAGATATATGAGACTTTTTGATTTATGATGATGTTATATCTCAGTGAGCCCATGGTAAATTAAAGATACCCTGAGCCGGAAACACCACTGTAAGTCAAAATGCCTCTAATGTGTGCTCTGAATACACGTCAGACTACTTGGGCAAAATCGTCTGGGCAAGGCCTATTTTACAGTCGCGTGTGCACCCGAGTGGGCATTTCACAGGCCTGACGGACCTGCCAAAAGGCAGTGGCAGACCATCTGCTGTCTCCCTCGAGGTCAGCTGACTGGCACCCCGGGAGGGTATCCTGCTGTTTGCTGCAGCCCAGGGAAGGAGCAACCCCAAAGGTGAAGGGCTTTCCTGTCTTCCTAGGACAAGAGACCGAACGTCGGGACTACCTGAGAGTGCTTTTCACCTGGGGAACCTTTTCATTTTTAGTGAATTTTAAAGAAGCAACACTTATTATTTGCAATGTTTATAACGTATTAAAAGTAATTCAAAATAACATTCTGGCATTGACGTGAAGTAACTCGGTGAAAGATGTTGTCCATTATTCTGCTAATCTCAATCAATCAAGACTCATAACACCTTCTATGGTCCTTGAACCTAAAGTAGTTTTTAATGATGTGCGAAATCCAATTTCAGTGAGGGCTTTGATATGATATGCTATTTTTTAGAGCTACACAATACATTCAAGCTTAATTAATATTTCCGTTTCACTTCATGTAAATTAAAAGTTCACTCAGCAATCAAAAGGAAGAGGCTGAAGCAAAAATAAAAAGGACACTTAGCATCGATTAAGAGATGAGTCTAGAAACTTATTTTTCATAAAGGCAGCAATGGGGATTCCAAGAGTAGAAATTAAGAAATAATATAACAATCCTCAGTGTTAGCCAAGTTCCTGGACAGCAAGGGAAACCCGAGGCAGTAAATGGGGACGAGTGAACCCAGCCCCTCTCAGGGCTGCGGCAGTCCCTGCTCCTGTTTATCCTTCCCCTTCTGTTGGCTATTGGGGGAAGAATTTGGTGTTTTGTTGAGCCCTGAATGGTGGGTAGTCTAACCCCTCACGTCACACATTAATGCCAAATTCGGAATTGAGGAGTGGGCCCCCGAGCTGCATTCCTCCGCCCCTCAAAGACCAGAGCACCAAGTTGGGGGATTCCAGGCGCAGTGGGGTCCAGGTGCTGCTAGCAGGCCATCAGGCTCCCCCACATCCAGCTCTCGCTGATGGCTGAGGGCACTGCCAGATGGCCACTGCAGGTTCAGCAGGCCCCTCGGGATTCCTGCCACTTTGCCTATGTGTTGTGACGCCCAGCGCCTCTGCCTGAGGGTGCAGGAGAGGAGCAAGTCAGGCTGCTCCTGTGGCTCCCAGGCTCCTACGCCTGGTGTGATGCTGTGACGGCCTCCTGGAGACGTCCTGCAGCCTCTCTTGCATGGCGGGTGGCGGGAGTCACCTCTGGATTTCCCCAAGGTAGTGAGCCACAGTGCCCCTCCCTGTCCCCACCTTCCTGGCTGCTGTGACCCCAGGGTGCTCTGCTGCTGTCTGGTACTGGGCAGTGAGTGGTCCCCACCAGGAAGTGTCTGGACTCAAGAGTGCAGAGAAGAGTGTGGACCTTGGGATTTCCTAGTCATGTAGTACCCTGACTTTGAGACTTCCCAATCAGACCCCCCCCCACAAAAAAAACCTTAACAAAACAATGATATGGAAAAAAGAAAATACATAAGTAAATGCAAAGTAAGAATATGAAAATAGCAAACAAGGAGAGCATCTCCCCCTTGTTTAAATGTTTTCCTTTATTCTGTCTCTGACAGTTGTCAGGATATCTTTCTTTGCCCCTGAGTTGTGACAGAGGGCAAGTAGTTTTAGACAGAGTGAAGAAAGGTAGGAAGGCTGCTTCAGTCTTCCCCAAACCTGGCTCGAGGGGAAGGCTGCGCCACCTTGCAGCCTGTGGAACAGCCTGCGGATCTTGATTAAGCTGGCCAGCAGGAAGAGGTCCTCTCCACTCACGTACCACAGCACTGGGATCTCCTCAGGCAGGGCCACCTTCCGAGCAGCAGGGAGAAAAGGAGGGTCAGAGTGTGGAGTGGCGCTGTGGTCACCCCTGAGCGGGACAGTGGTGTCCCTAGGACCCGCTTGGGGCTAGAGAGCAACCAGCGCTTGCCAGTTACTCGAGCATCTTAACCAGGTCACAGGGAAGGGAGCGCAGAGGTGCTGGGGCAGACCTGCCTGGGGAGTGCCCCCGGGCCGTGCCAGGCCGGCCTGGGGGCAGAGGGGGGTCCTGCCCCAGAGAAGGCCGACCTGGGGCTGCCCAGCCTCCCTGCCTTCTCGTAGTGTGTCCCCACCTCTGCAGGCGGTGACAAGTGAACCTCTCTTTAGCCTGTGTGGCCTCTGCTCTCCCACTCTGGGGCCTCAGCAGGGACTCTAAATGTGGGTAGAAGCTTGTCACCGTGAGCAGAGGGACTGCTTACCTGCAGAAGGCAGGACTGTGGCATCTTTCTGCATTGGCCCTCCCTCCACAGAAAGGAAACCAGGGAGGAGAGGACGACTGGACAAAGGGGAATGGAGAAGTCCCAACCTCCTGTCCACCGTCCAGCCCCCAAACCAGGAAGGCCACTCGGAGGTCACGTCAGGGATGGTTCTGATGAGATCTCGTCCCCAGAGATGATTTTAAGGAATTATTGAAAATCAAAACACAGAGGCAACTCTCTGTAGGGATTCATGGCCAGAGACCCTAACCCAGCACACACACGCCCTGAGCTCCGCCGAGTAAGAGGTAGGGGGACCCTCGAGGATGGGGATCCTCAAGGATGGGGACCCTGGGATGGTCATGGGAGGCAGCCCTCTCCGTGCCCCTCGTGTAGGCCCCTTGTGCGGGCCACTGGTGGCCACAGCTGGCGCTGCACTGGGCTCTGTGCCCCCAACAGCAGCCCCCTGCTCAGATTGCAGCCGGTGGCAGAGCACGCAGGAAAACAGGTCTCAAAGGCAAAAAGGAGCCCGCAACTGAGAGTCGGCCAGTATGAAGGGCATCAGGCCCTCCTGTGGAGACACCAGAGCCCACAGAGAAGGGCTCGCAGGCAGTGGCGGAAATGTGCACACAGCTTGTGCCTGTCCACGATGGGCACAGTGTGCATGTGTGCATGGACCCACTGTGCCAAGGAAAGACAGCAGTGGGCACGCTGCACAGGAGCCCAGGACAGCACACTCTCCTTTATGCAGACACATGGAGCTCTCATCCAATGTATATAAGCATATATATAAAATATGTAATTCCCCAGGGATTTGAGAGAATATTATCGTCAAAGAAAGACACAAATTCTATGAAACCAGGCACAGTGGCACAGGCCTGTAATCCCAGCAGCTCAGGAGGCTGAGGCAGGAGGATCGTGAGTTCAAAGCCAGGCTCAGTAATGGCAAAGCCCTAAGCAATTCAGTGAGACCCCGTCTCTAAATAAATACAAAATAGGACTGAGGGCTGGTGGGTGCCAAGAACCACCCCTGGCACTCTGCATCCTAATCCTCGAAGTGGCTGTGGGTAGGGTCAACTAGCTTATGGAAGAGAGCGTGAAGTTCATTTTCACTCAGCCAAACAGCAGCACTGGAGTTTGGAACTCAAGACTGTGGAACTTGCAGTCTGTGTCCTTAACCACAGGCACCACTGCCATCCAGGGGTGCACTCTGGGCTGTGCCCTGAGCAAGATAACAGGGCAAGAGGAGAATAGTGTGGAGGTCCACCTCAGGGAGCCCACCATCCAGTGGGAAGGGCAGCCCGATCAACACGGTGGGCAGAGGCAAGGTCACAGAAAGCCCCAAGAAGGACGTGCTCAGTGCGGGTGAAGGCCCAGGAGGTCTGGCGTGTGTCTCCAAGGAGGTGCTTGGTCTTGAGTGCAGCCAGACCAAGTCCCCTGGCCAAGCTCAGGGCTTATGCCATAGCAGGGCGAGAAGCAGACAGGAACCCTAAAGCCCAAGCTCCAGCAGTCACAAGGCTCCAGCCGTGCTCCCTGGACCAGGTCTGATGGAGGGGTTCAGGAGACACAGTGAGGCTGCCTCAGTCCACCTGAGACAATTGCTGTGGCTGTCACTGAGCTCCCCAGCCCCTGGGGGATCAGGCACAGTGCAGCCCACAGTAATGGCACCTAGCACGTTGCTTTACTCTTGGAAGCTGAAACGCTTAGCCCATTTTAGAGATGTGCCTACCTTCACTTTGGTCCCAACGCTGATTCTTGCCTGTTGTCCCATTGCTAGGAAAGTGATGGAAACTTTGTCCTGCCCTAAGATTCGAATTCCAACGTGGTGGTTCAGAGCCAAGAAGACAGGCTTAAACGAAGCCAAAGGCGAGGACGTCACAGAACGGGACCAATTCCAGACTCTTATTCTATTGCCAGCTTGATCTGAATATTGACCTCCCAGGAGATTGATGAACACCCTGGAAGGAAATCAGAAACTACAGATAGTGACACCGCTGTACAGGACTGGAATTCGCCTGTCCTGGCCAGAGCACAGGTGATGGGACCTCAGGTCATCCCGGGAGCTGTCCCACTCTGACTGACTTGCCCACTAATCACCAGTTGTGGTCTGATGGTGGGTCCAAAGAGGGGCTGGAGGGGTGGAGATGGAGCAGGGAGTTTGGTCTAGAGAGAGCGGCTATAGGAGAGAAGGCCCATCCTGAAGGAGCACAGACCAGCACCTGATCTCCATCAGGTCAAAATGAAGACCAGTGGGGAGATTCTGGGGAAGCCCCAACTGGTCTCACAGTGTCCAACAACTAAGAGCCAGGTGCCCCTCTGGGGAACTGATTCTTGCCTGAGTGGACAGGAGAGGCTCAGGGAACACCCAGAGATCTCTGCAGTGGAGAAGGCAGAGGTGGGCTTCACCTCTCCAGTCTCGGAGCGCCTCACGTTTTACCATGTTACATGTCAGCTTCCCTGTGCTGACTCAGATCTGGTGGCACTAGTTACCATCCATCCTACTCAGTCACCTTCTTCCAACCAGGATCACCATCCTGAACTAGAGAGCATCTGGGCACTGAGAAAGTTGGCTTAATTTGATAATGAATTATTTTTTTTTTCAAAACTATTATGAACTGCCCATGAGGTCTCCCAAGGCAAGGTAGCTAATGTCTCATATTCCCAGGATTTATGGCTGGTAGTCATCTAACCAAGCACTAATTAAAAACTAAGGTGATTCTCTTGTTTGATCTGGAAAGGGGGAGATTTAGTTTTACCTTGAAATGTGAGTGAAAATAATATCTGGCTGAAAATCCCTGAATAAATTAGCCCTTTTTTACTTTTTTAGCAAACATTCTTTGAGTCTTTACCCTGAACAGATATGTTGCTATATAATGGCAAAGATTCAGAGTGTGCCTCGAGGAACTTCCAGCAAGCCACTTGCTCAGAAGGGGCTCTGGGAGCACCCAGGACCACCACACCCATGGGAGCCCCCTCTCAGGATAGGGGCTGCACACAGCCAGCAGGAAGCAGCCACTGTGGTGTGCGTTACTAAAGCACCCCACCAGAGGTGACATAGAATGACTGCCAATCATATCCAGTGTGCGTGGTGCTGCTTTGGACTGAAAACACAAATAATTCATCCTGAGCTTCCTCAAGAAGGGCAGTCTCCAAGTTTCCCAGGTGAGATCATTATGCCTAGAAATAAAGAGAAATATTTCTTTCTGAAAATCTCGGGATGTTAAACTTGTATCTGAAGTTGGAAGCCAGATTTCACTTTGTCAGGCTAAATGAAGCACAAGGATGTCATGAACTTCGTGCTCAGTTGGTCAGCCCGGGGTCAGGGTCCTGGTCCTTCAGGGGACTGCTGGCACACTCCTCTTCTGGTTGTGCCATCAGACGCTCCTGGTGAGCTGTGGCAGTGCCCTCAGTGACTGTCCCTGAACAGCTGCTTCCACAGATGGGCATCACCCCACCATGAAGCACAGGCTCCTGAGACTGTCCAGGCTCCAGTCCTCAGTCCCTAGAGGGACCACACTGTGTGGTTCACATGTTCTTACTTCGAGTAGAAAGAATGTGACAAGCTTGGTTTTGTATAGTTGGTGGAATTTTCCTGCTAAAAAGCTTATGGAATAGCATACACCAAAAACAGCTCTGTGCTGGGCATCGTCACCTAAAGACCACTAACTGAGATCATCCTAAAGCCATTCCTGTCCTTTTTAAAAAGTCACAAAATCAAACGGACAAACAACAGCAGAAAGAACACAGAGGCCTACCAGACATTTCCATTGGGGTGGTAGCAGGAGCTTCTGCCCGAGGAGTCCAGCAGCGCCAGGATGGCAGGGTTCATGGGCACGTCTTCTTGGATTATACACGTGAAGCCATTTATCTTGTTGGGCACTTGGATGATGGCTAGGTTTCCAGATGGATAGCTGAGATCAGATAAGGTCATATGAGTTGTTCTAATGGTCTGTGACTCTACTGGGAATAAGTTCAATTTATGAGAGAACTGTTTAAAATTATAAAGCATTCTTGCATGGGAGTTGCTGTTAATACCAAATAATTTATGTCTTTTATGTGGATCAAAATATATTTATGAGATGTAAAATTCCTCAACAAAACCCTAGCAAACAGAATTTATATATGTAAAATTTATGCACCATGATAAAATGGGGCTTATCCCAGGAAGGCAAGGTTGGTTTAACATCTGAAAAAAATCAATCAATGTAATATATACTACATTAACAGAAAAAAAGCAAGAAACACATGAGCATCTCACAGAGGACAGGAAAATACCTTCTATTAACTTCAACACCTTTTCATGATAGCAAGACTCAACAACAGTCTTCAAATAGAAGGGAACACCTTCCACCTGATAAAGGCACCTATAGAAACACTGCAGCTGAAGTCGTGCTTCACCACGAGATGCTGCTTGCTTTCCTTATGGTCAGAACTAACATGGACCCTGTTGCTCTGCTCCACTCAGTGGTACCAGAGAGTCTGGCCACAGAGTGTTTGGAAAGAAAAAGAAATGAAGGCCCCTAAATTAGAAAGGGAAATAAAGCTGTGTTTGCAGATGACATGATGTTGTGCACAGAGAATCCCAAGGAATCCACACAGTGGAAGGGTCAGCACTGATGAACAAGGTCAGCCAGGTCGCAGGCTGCCAGTTCAATATACAAAAATAACTGCACTTCTGTAAGTTAGCAGTGAACATTCTGAAAGTGAAATAAAGGAAACCATTCCATTTAGATAACATCAAAAAGGATAAGGTATGCTGAGGAAAATTCACTTAATGTCAATGCTGGGTCCACATGGAGGCCAGTCATAAGACCAAGAAGACACTGGATGGAGGCTGAATCGTTTTGAAAATCAGACACAGCCTTCAAGAGGGCTAGGAAGAATTAAAATCAGGACACTAAATGACAATAATAAAAGTTGGATAAGTTATATGTACTGATGTAATTGAAATGAAACCTGCTCTTTTTCTCATAGAACCTAGGGAACTAAGACTGCATTAGGACTCCTCTGCTGTGAAAGTCTGTGAAAGTTCTGGTTTATCATTAGGGTTTGGCTAAACATTTGGGAAATTATGACTAAAAATGATTGTCTTTTATAAAGGGAGACTCCTTAGTTCATGAAAAAGTCCTCATGAAAAAGAAAACTTTCTCTCAGCAGCTCGGGAGGCTGAGACAAGAGGATCGCGAGTTCAAAGCCAGCCTCAGCAACGGCGAGGCATTCAGCAACTCAGTGAGACCCTGTCTCTAAATAAACTACAAAATAGGGCAGGGATGTGGTTCAGTGGTGGAGTGGCCCTGAGTTCAATCCCTGGTCCCCCCTCCTCCCCACAAAAAAAAAGAAAAAGAAAACCTTCCTAGAGTTAGCAAGAGGTAGGGAGTGGCTTTTATGTCAGAATATCCAGTGGCCTGGCGGTCAGGCACCAGCCCAAGTGGTCAGTGACTTAGTGTTCCAGGGAATGGATACTGGATTGGGGCATTAAAAAGTAACCTGCTGCTCATGGGTGTGTAAGCAGCACACATGTTCTGGGGAGCAAGACCTATCAACGCTATAGAGTAAGAGGGCAAGAGATGTGGTGAGGAATTTCATTTACCCCTAGGAACTAAATTCAAGGAAGTAAGTGGTAAGTGTGCACCAGAGTTGTCCCGGCAGCTGTGGAGCATGACAACAAAGTGGCGCCCACCTCCCCAGGACAGCAGGAAGTAGGCTGGAGGAAGCACAGTAGGCCCATGCCATGAGGTCGCATGGTCACAGCAGTGGCCTCGCCTCTCCACGTCCTCGCATGTCACTATTCAGGACGTTATTGATCTACAGTTTCATCAGATTCATACTCATCTCAGTTACAAACTACAATAAGCAGTTGAGGAACTTATTTTAAAGAACTGTATAGGTGCTTGTAGATAGAAAAAAGTATAAAAAGATGTATTTTATGTCACCAGTTTTTCTCTGGGAAGTAAAATTTGGGGGGTGATATTTTTTCTTCATACTTCCCAGTATTTTCATCATCTTTCTTTCTTTGAGAATGAACTGGCAATCTCTCTCCTTGATGGAAAGGATACAAGATCTGTGTGGTCCCATCTGGGAACGAGGTCAGGAACTTGCGGCCGTTCTTGTAGTGCCTCTCCAGGAGCTCGCTGGTCACCACCTGCACTGGGAGAGAGGGTGCCAGACAGCACAGCCCTGGTGACAGGCCACTTCCTCACGGCCATGTTGGCCTGCTCCACCCGCAGGGGCCGCCCCAACAGCCATTCAGAGTATGTCCCTAACCCACAGTGCAACTCGAGGAGAGCTCTCTGGGGGACTCTGACGTTCTTCCTTGTTACGTCCTACACATATTACTATGAAACAAAACCAAAGAAGGCAAAACCAGTCCCCCACGACATCCTTTCACACCCTGATCGTGTGTTAGGACTGCACACTTAAAAAGGGTGAGTGTCACTATGACATTTGACTTCATCAGGGGAGAGCAGTTCTGAGAAAGCGACTGCAGCAAGTGTCCCAAGCTACGGGCACCTCTGGTGGAGAGTGGCCTTCTGACGGAGCCCAGCAACAGTCCCAAGCTCCATCAGCTATTGTAGGTCACACTCCACGTGGAGGGGTTGAACCCACATTTCACCATACAGCAAAGGTTCGGTTTAACTCCATCTATTCCTAACCTTGAATCTTACCAAAATGGATGGAGGAATTCCTAGAGCTAAGCCACGAAACAACCTGTTTTTTGCATCAACATTGCCATTTATTTTAAGAAAGCGTTATCGCATCTGGAAATAAAGTCCATGTTTTCACTTTTTAACATAATGAGACATGGAATGCACCCAGGCAAGCCATGCATTAACGAGTTGTTACAAAGCAATCACCCCCAGTGGCCACCCAGGTCAGGGGACAGAGAGCACAGAGCTGCTGCCCCAGACAGCCCATCTCAGTGTCCTCCAGAGCAACACTTCCTTCCAGGATGTGACTGTTATCATTTTATCTATACAGAAGTTTATTTTTCCCCATTTTTGAATTTTACATAAATGGGATCATATGTTATGTATTTGTATTGTCTTGCTTCTGTCAAAATTGTTTCTAAGATTCATACTCATCCCAGTGTTCAGATGTAGTGCAATGACTATAATCTAGGTATAGTATTCCACTGTATGAATTTATCACTGTTCATTTGTTCTATTGTTAAAAGAAATATAGGTTATTCTCAGTTATTGGTTATTACAAACAAGGGTCCTAGGGATATTCTTACACATTTTGTTTTTTTGTTTTGGGGTTTTTTTTTTTTTGGTATCAGGGACTGAACCCAGGGGCACTTTCCACCAAGCTACATTCCCCACCCATTATTATTATTATTATTATTATTATTATTATTATTATTATTTTGAGACAGGGTCTCACTGATACTTAGGACCTCACTAAGTTGCTGAAGTTGGCTTTGAACTCTCAATCCTCATGCCTCAGCCTCCAAAGTCAGATGGGCTTACAGGCATGTGTCCCTATGCCCAGCTTTATTATGCATGTATTTTGATACCAGAGGTAAAACTGACAGATCCCAAGGTATACCAATCTTCCACTTCACTAGATAACGTCAAAATGATTTCCCAATTCAATTAGAGGCAAATAACAGCCACCGTTGTTCTATCTCTTTTCCAAAAATTGGTACTGTCAGATTTTACACTTTTGCCAATATTATTTGCATGTGCTGAGATTCTCATTGTGATTTCAATTTCCATTTCTCCAGTCACAAATGAGGTTGAACACCTTTTCATATACTAATTGGTCAGCTGGATTTTCTCCTCTAAAAAGTGTTCAAGGTTGGGTTTTTTTTAGCCCATTTTTCTGTAAGATTGACCTTTTTCATGTTGATTTACAAAAATTCTTTATACATTTAGGATAGAAGACCTTTTGCTTGTCATATGTACTTCAAATATTTCTCCGTTCTGGGCTTGTCTTTCAGTTTTAATGTGTTGAATCCTTTTATATCCTGCTTTTAGGTCAGAGGGCTATTCTTCAATATTTTAAAAATCCTTATAGCTTTGCACTTCAATGTAGGTCTTGAATCCTCCTGAAACTGGTTTTTACATGTGGGGTGAGGTAAGTGGTTCTAATTTCCTTAGTAAAACACATGGATACTAAATTGTTCCAGAACCACAGAATGAAAGATGACCCTTTCCCCATCGTGGGGCAGTGCCATGGCTCTCCTAAGTCAGGTGTCTGTGCATATGTGAGTCTGGTTTTAGACCCTACCTTCTGCCCCAACACCACACTGTGCTAACTGCCTATTTTGTAATGGATCTTAATATCAGGTAGAGAGTGTTCTCCTCCCCTCCATCTTCCTGAAGAGTGTCCTGACAACTCTAGCCTTTCCATATTTCCACACAAATTTTACTGTCAAGTTACCAAGACTGCCCTTTCCCCCATCCACAAATGTGCAATCCCATTAGAATTTGATGGAGTTGAGTTGCATCACTGAGGGAAGACTGCCATCTTTAAACTATTTCCTGTTCCAACCCATGAATTTGAGGTCCGACCTGTTAGACGTACCGGTTGAGTATTCTGTAGCTTGACTTCTGAACAAGGCTTCAGGACACTGCACAGTTGGCCCACATCCCTGCAGTCACCCAAGTACAGAATCAAATTTTTTTGGGGGAAATTGTGACCATACTTAACACATGTAGACTTTTTTCCTTGTCATGATTTGCTGACCAATGCAGCATAAAACCATGGAAACAGCTTTACATTGTGTTAGGTATGACAAGCAACCCAGCTGTATATAAAGTTCACAGGATGGGGTGTGGGTTCTAGGCAGACCCAGCTGAGCACCTCTGATTTGAAATCTGAAACGCTCCACAGTTTGAAGCTTTTTGAGCACCAATATTATGCCACAAGAGGAAACTTCCATATGACCTCAGGTGGTGGGTTACAGTCAAAATTCAGGTTCACTAGAAATATGATAGAAAATTACCTTTAGGCTATTGTTGTAAAGTATATATAAAAACAAATGAATTTCATGTTTCTATCTCTAATGAGATACCCCAAGGTATCTCATTATATATATATGAAAATATTCCAAAATTTTTTTAAAAATCTCAAATCTGAAACACTTCTGGTCTCAAACATTTCAGATAAGGGACATTTAACCTGAAGTGTGTTGTAGGGGACTCCAGTATCCCCAGATTTTGCGATCTGCAGGGCATCCTGGAATGTCTTCCCCTAGATATCGAGAAACATCTATAACTGCATTTGACCTTCCTCCCAGTTCACATTCTATTGTCTTGTGTGTTAATTCTGCACTGCCTTCATTATTGCTGTATCAACCAACTTTTACATTTATCCATATATACCATGTCCCACTTTCTTTGCTCTTCATTGAATCTCAGGCTGTCTAACTACCACAGAACATTCTTTAGAATTCCTTTAATGAGGAGCTACTCAATTCTGGTTTTGCCAGAAAATGTGCTTCTGATACGCTGTATTGAGAAATATTTTAGCTGGATATAAAATTCTAGATTGGCTGTTGTTTTCTTTCACATAATGAAACCATTCCACCATCTTCTAACTTCCATGATTGCTTCGGGAGGTCATCTGCTAGTCTGTTCTTCCTTAACTGTAAACTGAAATTATTTTATTCCTCTGCTTATTTTAAGATTTTCTTTTTGTCTTTGGTTTTCTGCAGTTTTACTATAATGTGTCTGGGTTTTATATATATATATATACACACACACACTAACACACAAACACACACACACACACACACCACACACATACACACTGCTTGGGATTCACTGAGCTTCTTAATCAATGGATTGGTCTCTTTTTTTTTAATCAGTTCTGAAAAATTATCATTAACCATTTCTTTAACTATTACCTCTGCATAATTATATTTTTCCTACACCCTAAGGCATTTTGATAAGCAAAATTTGGGCCTTCCATTTTAGATATTGCATCCTATACTCTCTTTTGTGTCTCTTACCTTTTTTTTATGGTGAATTTTGATTTTTTTCTTTTTTACCTTTCTTTTAATAATTCTTTCTTCAGTTGTGTATAACCTGTTTTTTATTTAACTCTTATCCCTTAACCCTCTATTTCAGTCATATTTTCTATTTTTTTATTTTTTATTTTTTTTTGCATTTCAAACCTGCCATGTAGTTCTCTATTCCCTCCAGGTCTTTGACCTGACCTTTCATTGTCATAAACATATGAAGTTACTTCCGTTTTGGAGATCTTTGCAGTTCTCTTATTGAAGGCATTTTGGGCTGTGGTATCAGGTTTCTTTTGTTCTTTGTTATTTTTCACTGTCTGCTAGTAACTGAACTTGAAAACTATCTGAGGGTTGAAGGAGTGACCTTCCTCCAGACAGGATTTGGATGTGCTTTTTGTCAGCTCACTGGCACCTCTTAAATTCCATATCATTCAAGAAAAACAAACTTGCTCTCAGTAATTTAATCTCTGAGAATTTATTCTGAGGAACTATACTGATATACAAATACATACAAAACTATTCAAAGCAATGCTATTTATAATAGCAAAAAAATGTTAATAACATCTATGTCTAATAACAGGGGATGGTTAAATTGTTGTGTGAAAAATCACTAGTGCCAGTGGCTCAGGAGGCTGAGGCAGGAGGATTGCAAGTTCAAAGCCAGCCTCAGCAACTCAGCTTGGTCCTAGGCAATTTATCCAAAATAAATGAAACATAACAATAAAATATAAAAAATAAAACATAAAAAAGGCTGGGGATATGGCTCAGTGGTTAATAGCCACTGAGTTCAACCCTGGTCCCAAAGGAAAAAAGAAAAAAAGAAAAATCATTAGCTTTTCAAATCATGTTCGTGTTCTCTATATAATGGAAAAATGTTCTTAATTAAGTTTAATGAGATAAAAATTGAATATATGATACAATTACAATCACATTAACAAAAACCTATGCAAGGAAAGAAAAGTCTGGAACGTTGTCAAGAGAACTTTTGAGCAGAGCGAGGATTTTCTGCGTGTGTCCTTTGGAGAGGCAGCACTATCTCCGGGCACCTGGGACAGGAGATCTGGCTCCAGTGACTTGAGTTTTATTTTAATTGTGCCTGATTTTATCTAGTTGGTTCACGCTGTGCAGCATAAGTCTAGAAAACATTGAGATAGTAGTAATGTTTTGGAGACGTGGTCTGGAAGTTTGGGGATTTTCTCCCTCTCTTTTTAATTTTCTAAGGGCTCCAATTTTATTAATGTGCAACCATCATGTTTTAAGATAAAAGGCTTTGTCTAAAACCTTTTGAAGACAGTGTTTTTTAAAGTCTAGTAGAAGCTGAAATGCCAAATTTGAACCAATTCGTCTTGACAAACAGTTAAATGTGTCAATGTGGCCAAGCTTTAGGAGAGCTTTTATAATTTTAGGTAAAACTAAAATTATAGAAATATATTTAAATAGAAAAAAAAAGGCGATTACCTTTCCACATGCTCTCCTGGAATCACAACAAAGGATGGATATATTAGTATACTTCAGATAAAAGTCAGACAGCCTTTCTACAACTGGCTTTGGTTTTGGAACATCCACCGAAAGTTGATATGAAATTGTTTTTAAGCGCCTTGGGTCTAATGGGAAAAAATCACATGAGAGTAATTATATATTTTAAATTTTGTAAGACCATTCTTCTAAAATAAAATTCCCAGTCCCATTACAGATGCACTGATTTATTGAACATTTTTTTCAAGAAGAAAAATGAGGCTCAGTGAGGGGGCACTTTTGTTTAAAAAAAAAAAAGGAATATTTCTGTGTTAAAAAAAAGAAAAACATGAAGTGAAATTTTCTGGTCCTTATTTTAGTAAGAAACAGTTGAATATCAAGAAACTTTATACAGTATTAAGAATTTAATTACTAAAACATAAATAAGATATGTCTTCTCAGGGTGCCTTTTAAATAGCTCTGAGTGATAGAGAAGTTGCTTGATGCTGCTAGACTGTGGCTCAGAGGTAGCGGTAGCGGCTTGCCTAGCATGTGGGAGGCACTGGGTTCCATTCTTAGCACCACATGCAAATACATAAAACAAAAACTTTCAAAAGAAAGAAAGAAAGAAATGCACCCCAAACCAGATGGCTTGTAGGGGGAAGGCAGGGTATAAACCCGGGGCTCAGGTTCTGCCATCAGCTCCCTCCGCCATCCATCAGTCTCCGACAGAGCCCAGGTAGGTGACAGTCTGTTCCTGCCTGAGCTTGAAAACAAGACAGGATTGTGTGCTAAGACACCAGGAGGTCCTGGAGCTCTCTGCAGCCTGTACAAAGGCTCCGCAGATGTCGCTGATTTATTTTAATCAATAACAACAATGAGATGGAGACCAAGAACTCCAAAAGCCAGATGGCCCAAACCTCAGATTTCCTGAGTGATTATGATGGGTGAAGGTTTTACAATACTCAAAAATGAAAAAAATCTCAATATTACCTTTAAATACACTAGTTTTAGGACTTGGCCCAGCCTCAGAGCTTTCTGATGTTGTGAGCAACTTGGAGGTGTCAACTCACCTTCTGGTATGGAACTAATCTGCTCCGTGTTGGCCAGTATTGCAAGATGCCTGGCCGCCAGTCGCTCCTGTTTCCTACAAGATCAAAACCGTGCTGTGTGAATGGGGAGGGGGGGCTGGGGCTCCGTGTGCACTGGAACAATCAGCTGCCCAGGTCCCTCCTCGCGCTGACCTGGCCTCTGCCCTGTCCCCCCAACAGATTCCTCCTGCAGAGCAGCTCTGAGTCGCCCAGTCATGTAGGGCTGGTAAGTCCAACTTCAACTAGTGAGCTCACTACGTCTCTGGGAGCTTCTGAACCCCTGATGTCCATCAGGAATAATTATAATAGGTTTTCTTTGGCCAATTTTTAGTTCTTCTCAGGAAGCACATCTTCAAACTTACACATTTTAAAAATCAAAGCAGCTGTCCCACCTGAGCTCTGGCCCCTGGGCTCCCGTTACCTCCTCTGGGCCCTCTCCTTGGCCTTGAGCCGCTCTGCCTCGCTGCCGTGGGCCGCGTGAGGGGCAATCTTGATCAGCTCCGTCGCAGTGTGTTGGGATTTCTGGTTTTCCTCATAGATGAAGTCGATGAGATTTTGGAAATGACGGCAACAGGGGGCCTGGAAAGCAAAGAGATCACTCTCTTCTCCTGAGCCCTCGATGACGGTGATCAGGGAGGAGGAAAGCAGAGCCACCCGGCGGACATGGCAGCCTCCCAGGTTTTCCTTCCTGTTAACAACTTCTCAGGATATAATGCACGTCCCACCCCCGTCCCCCAAAAGGCACAGCCCAGCTGGCTTTCAATGTCCTCAGAGTGGAGCACCCATCACCACAGTCACCCCCTCTTCCCAAAGCCAGCAGCCACTCTTCTTGCTGTCTCTACTCCCCTGTTTTTCACTGTTGGTATGAGGAACCGTCCGGCCTGTGAGGCCTTACTGGTACTTCTTCCACTTGCCACCATATTGTCAGGGCCTGTTTGTGTTGAAGCATGTTTCAGGATTTCCTATTTCTGTTTCTGGCTAAATAACATTTCATTGGATAGATATACCACATGTCATGTATTCATTCACTAGTTGATGGACAGTTGAGTTGTTTCTACTTTTTGACTATTAAGAAGCATGCCAACTAGGTTTAGTGTGACCCTAGCTACTTAGGAGGCTGAGTCAGGAGAATCTCAAGTTTGAGGCCAGCCTCCACAACTTAGCAGACCTTGTCTCAAAATAAAAAATGAGAAGGGCTTGGGTGTGGCTCAGTGGTAGAGCACGTGTCTAGCATGTGTGAAAACCTTGGGTTCTCCAGCACCACACACACACACACACACACAAGGGATTGCTGTGAATGTCTATGTACATGTTTTAGTGTGAACCTAGTCGCCCATTTTCTTAGGTATAACCAGGATCTGAATCACTGTCCTGTGGTGACTGTGGGTTCAACCTCTCGAGGACTGGCCAGACCACGTTCTGAAGGGGCTGCACAGTTTCCTGCCGCCCGGCCCCCCAGCAGCGTATGTGGGTTCTGGCTTCTCTGTGTCTTGGCCAACGCTTGCTACCCTGGGTCTTTCTACTCAGCTGTCCTGTGAAGAGGACAGGGTGGGCCATGGTGCTGAGACCCGAACTTCCCCAGCAGCTAACATCCCTGCACCAGGGACAACGTGGAGGAAAGAGGCAGAAGAAAGGGCCACATATTCTAAAAACAGGCTTAAGCTGACACCACTTCCTCAGCATGCCTGCCTCAGGACTTACAGATCCTTCCATGTTAGAGGAAATGTCCACATTGGAGAGGAATGAGTGGAGGTCACTGTTACAGAATTCACACTTGGGGGCAAGATCTTCCTCTTCCTCCTGCAGAGAGAGGGAGAAGAGGAAGTGTGTGCAGGAAACCTGAGGCTCAGAGCAGTGGGGGCCCTGGGCAGCCCAGCGGGTGTCCAGGGGCCAGCAGAGAACACGGGTGTGCACACTCACCTGGGAACTCAGGCCAGACACCTGGGGCTCCCAGGAAGATTTGATGGGGGACATCCCAGGGGCTGAGATCCCACACCAGCGGGACGGGGCCAGCAAGGTCTGTGTGTTCTAAAGAGTGACATCTATAGAAGGGCTGATGAGGACTTGGGCCGCGTGCACAGTGCCTTGGGAATTGAGTCCCTTGCAGGCAGGGGATTCACAGAGTATGACCTGAGTACACGCAGGAGGCGGGGCCAACACACACCATGCCGGGCGATGATTTTAGGCACTTGAACAACATGAACTTTTCCACTCAATGCTGAGCAAGAAAAGCCCACCATGGCTACATGGGCTCCACACCTGGTCATGCTCTCTCCAAGGAGCCTGGGATGGTCTGCCCCTGCCCAGCCGTGAGGGGTTAGGGAGATGAGACGCCCTTGAGAGATGGATTAGAGGCTCGGGTGGCTCCGCCAGGGGTGTGTGCACTGCAGCCAGTTGGCTCCCAGAGGCTCCAGGGCAGTTGCCTCGTGGGCCATGGGGGCCATCCTCTAAGACTGGCAAGAATGCCCAGGCAGGCCGGGCGGTGAGGGAGGTCACCAGGGCCACAGGAGACTCTCCACCTGCCCAGAGGAACGTCCATACCCCCGGCCACAGCACTGCCCATAGTGAGCACCACGGCTGCTGCAGGCAGCTCTCAGAGACAGGGCTTGCAACAGGGACAGTGGCACTGCCAGCCAGGAGCAGGACAGCCACACGGGTGGCCCCGAGATGACCTGTTCCACAGCAGGGGATGGCTGGGGACCTCCTCAGTCCACCATCCCTCACCCCTTCGCCTGTGCGTGAAGCAGGGTGTGGTGCTTACAAAGACCAGAAGTGGGGCAGAATCACACCCGAGGTGGCTGTGGCAGGGGACGAGGCCCCTGAACTGCCCAGGGTTGAGGCCAGACCTTGCAGGGCTGCCTGAGGAGTGGAGGAGGAACCCAGGAGGAGAGGCCACATTCAGGGATGTCAGGGTGACTCCAGCTCAAGTGACTCTGGGTATAAGACTGGTTCCAAATTAAAAGGTGTTCTGTTAGGTGGAGAATCTCAGCCCCAGACAGTGTGGGGTGACAGGGGTTTAGGAGCCTGGGTAGACCATGCAGCCAGTGCTCACGGATGTCACTGCTGGGTGACAGTGTGGCATCCCCTTGTTGGTGTGAGATTCAGTGCGCTGTCCAGATGGCTGTGAGAACCCCCTAGGCACCCACAGAGGGTCTGTCCATCCCTCTGTGGGTCACTGTGCAGGAGTGGTCTCTCTTCTCGTCAGTGAGACAGCCTGCAGCTCTGTGGCCCTAGAAGAGTCTTGCCTCCCGGCCCTTCCTTCACTGCTCTGGTGGAGGGTGGTGCGCTGGCCTGGTGGATCGCTGGGGTGGCCTCTGTGTGCCCCACAATCACTTCACAGACAAAACACGGCGGCATTCACTTCTATTTCCAGGCTCTGAGGCCACTGCTGTGGGTGAGATCGTGTCCTCCCAAGAGTGTGTTGAAGTCCCCACCCCTGGTGCCTGTGCACAGGGCTCATCTGTCTTCCCGGAGGTGAAGGTGGGGTTGCTGGAGTAGGGTGCAGGCCCACAGAGAACCCAGCGAGGAGGCAGGGAGCGGCTGGGTGCTGCTCCTCCAACGCCACCGTCCCAAGCAGGAGGATCGAGGAAGGATCTCCCTGCAGTGCTGGCCCCGGCCAGACCCCGGTCTTAGACCATGGCCTCCAGAACTGTGAGGCCGTGCTTCTTTTGTTGGAAGTCACTCCCTTTTGCCAGGTGGGATGGCACACACCTGTAATCCCAGCGGCTCAGGAGGCTGAGACAGGAGGATCTTGGGTTCAAAGCCAGCTTCAGCAACTTAGTGAGGTCTTAAGCAACTCTGTGAGACCCTGTCTCAAAAAATAAAAAGACTAGGGATGTGGTTCAGGGGTTAAGTGGGTTCAACCCCTGGCACCAAAAAGAACAAAGTCCAGCTGCTCAATTCCTGGTGCGCTGTGGCAGCAGCCCTGGGGATGAAGGAGCCTCCCTGAGCACCGTTCCAGGGACGAGCTCCTGCCTTTCTTCATTTTTAGTGTGCTCACTGCCAATTGTGCAGATGATAGTGTGGCTGTTTACGTCACTTTTAACAGTAATAGTCTTAAAATACACATTGGAATTACCTTGAAGTAAATGTCTAAGTCAGAATGATCTTTTTTGTGTGCCAGAATGGACGGCGGCCCGACGCTGGGCAGTGTTGTCTGGGAAGGCTCAAAGAGCTGAATGAAGTCTTCTTTAAACTGAATTTTAGGAAGAGAGAACAAAGGGAGACTCAGTAAGCTGCTTTTCTGGGGAGAACAGTGCGCTGGTTGGTGTGAGGCCTCTTCTTACCTCCAGCTCACACAGCACACTGAGTTTGGGCTCCTCAGGATTGATGACCCATCTGTCTGCAGGAGCAGAGAGTCAGGAGGGAGGGCCGAGCCTGCGCAGGGGACTCCAGGGGACCCCACACCCATCCTCCCAGGCCACTGCTTCCACGTTTGCACACACGCCATCACACACACACCCTCACACACACACCTTCACACCCTTAGTCATACCCACACCCTCACACCTATAGTCACATACACACCCCCTCACACCTACAGTCACACACACCCTCACACCCATAGTCACACATCCTCACACCCAGTCACACACCCCTCATACCCGTAGTCACACACACCCTCACACTCATAGTCACACACACCCTCACACACACACCTCACACCCATAGTCACACACCCTCATACACAGTCACATACACACACCCATACTCACACACCCTCATACACAGTGACACACACACATACCCATAGTCACACACCCTCAAACCCATAGTCACATAGTCATACACACAACCTCACACACCCTCACACCCATACACCCTCAGAGTCACACACACACCCAGTCACACACATACCCTCACACCCATAGTCACACATCCCGCACACACACACACCCTCACATAGTCACACACACACCCATAGTCACACACACACACACTCTCACACACCCTTCCTTCTCCTGCCTTCCTGCATCTCTCCGGGGATGCTTTCTAAGGGTGGGTGCTGTGCAGGTAAGGCCAACCCTCCTGGTGACCTACCTTGTCAGCAGGGGTGACCTAAATGTCCATTACCTCTAATCTTGGAAGCCAGAAGCCCTAAGGCCACTTCCTTTGCTGTAAGGCCTGTCATTGTCCCTTCAAAAGAGAGCATGGTTACCATCAGCCCCCGGGGTAGGTACAGCGGAATGTGACAGAGGACAGGCTCCTTGGGGGACCACAAGCCAGTGACCTGCACTGCTTTTGTTTTGTCCTTTCTCTGGTCTTCCCAGGTAACCCGTGTCTAGTAGGGACGACAGAGAGGGCTCATCCCTGTGTGGCACACTCGGACACTCCCTGCTCTCTAGTCCTGGGACACTGCAGGAGTAATGTGTTCCTATTTTTTAGCAGGTGTGGCACGTCCTATTGCTTCTTGCTTCCCTGAATGCCACCTGTCTCATTAGCCTGTCCCTATGAGGCCTTTCCAGGTAGGAGGGAGCAGGGGGGACATGCAGTCCATTCAGTGAGCTCAACCACCAGGGCCCTCTGCAGACCCAAGAGCAGCACCCAGGAAGGGAGGGAAGGTGCCAACCTGCCTGCAATGTGAGCAAGTGTCTGGAAGGTCTAGGGCGGCCATCACGGGGGTGCAGCCAGGATGGGGGTGCAGCCAGGATGGGGGTGCAGAGGGTTAGGGGTGCAGCCAGGACGGGGGTGCAGCAGCCAGGATGGGGTGCAGAGGCACAGGGGTGAAGCCAGGACGGGGTGCAGAGGCACGGGAGTGCAGCCAGGACAGGGATGTGGCCAAGACAGGGTGCATCCAGGACAGGTTGCAGCCAGGACAGGGGTGCAGAGGCAAGGGGGTGCAGCCAGGACGAGGGTGCAGCCAGGATGGGGTGCAGAGGCACGGGGTTCAGCTAGGACCGGAGTGTGGCCAGGACAGGGTGTAGCCAGGACAGGGGTGCAGAAGCACAGGGGTGCAGCCATGATGGGGTGCAGAGGCATGGGGGTGCAGCCAGGATGTGGTGCAGAGGCACACAGTGCAGCCAGGATGGGGTGCAGAGGCACGGGGATGCAGCCAGGATGGGGGTGCAGCCAAGACAGGGATGCAGAGGCACAGGGGTGCAGCCAGGATGGGGTGCAGCCAGGATGGGTATGCAGAGGCATGGGGTTGTGGCCAGGACAGGGGTTTTGCCAGGACGGGATGCAGCCAGGATGGGAGTGCATCCAGAACAGCGGTGCAGAGGCACAGGGATATAGCCAGGACAGGGTGCAGCCAGAATGGGGTGCAGAGGCATGGGGGTGTGGCCAGGACGGGGTGTAGCCAGGATGGGGTGCAGAGGCACAGGGATGCAGCCAGGATGGGGTGCAGGCAGGATGGGGTACAGCCAGGATGGGGGTACAGAGGCATAGAGGTGCAGCTAGGATGGGTGTGCAGAGGCATGGGGGTGTGGCCAGGATGGGGTGCAGCCAGGACGGGGTGCAGAGGCATTGGGGGGGCATGGGGCATGAAGACCCCTGTCCCAGCAGTCCACACAGAGGGATGCTGACAGAGGGAGAGGGCTCAGCGGTGATCTATCTGGGTAGGGGTAGGGAGAGTATCTGATCCAAGGTTACCTATGTTCTGAGGCAGTTTGTCCCACAGAAACGCCACATAGTGTAAGATACTCATGCACAGAGATTCCCACTAGAAAACATAGCTTGCCACAGGGAAGAACTAAACAACAAGCACACACACACAATAAAACAACAAAACCCAGCCTTAAAATGTTCAGCAACTGGCTGGGTGTGGGGCACATGCCTGAAATCCCAGTGACTCTGGAGGCTGAGGCAGGGGGATCATGAATTTGAGGCAATTTAGCAAGAGTCTGTCTCAAAATAAAATAAAAGGACTGGGGATGCAACTCAGTTGTAGAGTGCCCCTGGGTTCCATCCTCAGTACTGGAAGGAAAGAAAAGTCTAGCAACAAGGTTTATCGCCTAAGTAACAGACAGCACTATTTGAGGAATGCTGTGCCCTGAAGTGGAGAGGTGCACTGCCATCTTAGGCCATCTGGGCTGCCATAGCAAAGCACATGACACAGAAATGTGTCACTGTTGGTTTTGGAGGTCAGGAAGTCCAAGGTCAAGGGCCAGCAGAGTCAGTGCTTGCTGCGGGCCTGTTTCCTGGTTGCTGGATGGTGCCCCCCAGCTGCCTGCTCACATGGTACAGGAGGGAAGGAAGCTCTTTGGCTTCCCTCCCAACCATGCTGGGGATCAAATCCAGGGTCCCATGTGTGTTAAGCAAGTGCTTCACTGAGTCACACCCCGACCCTCGGGGCCTCTTCTATAAGAGCACTAATCCCATTCAGGAGAACTAAGTGGCTTCCCAAAGGCTTGATCTCCAAACACTACCACACTGGCTTGCACATATGGATTTGGGGAGGACGTAAGTAGCCAGCCTCTTCCCCTGACCCTAATGCTCGTGCCCTCACATGCAGAATAAAGTCAGTCCAGCCCACAGCCTGGCAGGCCTTGACTCCCCTGCATGGATGTCACAGTCTAGGCACAGAGTCTCACCTGAGTGCTACCTGAATACAACCCCTGCAGTGGCCGCCTGCTCCCCAGCTGGGCACCTAGGAATTCGGATATGCATGTTTCCAAACATGACAGTGGGCTGGCATTGGAAGGATGTCCCCAGTCCAAAAGGGAGAATTGGGAAGGAATAAAGAGTGACAGGTCCCCTGTAAGACGGATGCCCACAAAGGCCAACACTAGGGTCAGGCTTAGGAGCAATCTTCTCTGGCTGGACGTGAGACAGGCAGCCCCTCTCCACCTCATGTACTCCAGGGGCCTTGACGCAAGCTGGTCAGCTACTGAGAGCACAGGGGCCTTCCTACCCCTCACACACTCACACTCTCAGCCTCAGAAACTAGGGTGCTATTAAAACCGGGACACCCCACCAGGACTCTTCACGACAAATGACAGGGAAACAGCAGGTCTGGCCATGACCTGCCGTTGCAGGGTGTGTGCCCACCTGTGGGCTCTCAACAGGCAGCTGCTCCTTCTCAGCAGGCAGAACTGGGCAGGTGGTCCTAGACCCAGGCCCTTCCCTCGAGATTGAGGCACCCACAGTGGACCCAAAGAGAATACTTTAGAGAGGACCAGGAGCCAACTGAAAGCCCTAGAATCCAGCCCATCCCTGCAGGCAGCCCCTTCCTACAGAGCTCTCTCCCCGTCCAGGGCCAGCTGTCTCCCTTCTGCCTCAGCCCGTAGTCTCAGGAGTCTTGGAGTCTTGTCCCCTTGGATGGAGTACACAAGAAACCACCCTGCGGGGGGCAGGTGCCTCCTAGGCCCACTGAGGCGGAGCTCCCACCTTCCAGACCCTCTGTGGGAGTGGCCTTGCCTCCTGCAGTTCTTGGCTAGGGTCAGGAAGCTGAGGTTCCCATAGCTGCGGCCTCTGAGGCCCAGATAGAGTAGCCACCTCCACTGCTTCTGTGCCCTGCAAGCTGGTGCTCATGAGGACAGCACTGAGGGTTCTACCTATGCCTCCAGAGGTCAGCCACTGGGGCCTGCACCACCCCTGCCACCAAAGACACTCCAGGGTGGCTGAGGGGCAGGCAGTAGGGTGTGGAGGGCAAGCCTGGGCCAAGCACCCACTCACTCTGGGCCGTCTCCAGAAGGCCTCAGGACAGGCCTGGGCTCTGCTGTTGAGAAGCTCCACGCTTGGGTGGGAGGCCCTAGCCCAGCTGTCCCTGGTCAAATTTGGCCACCCTCATTCTCTCCTGAATAAGGTTTCTCATTTTTTTTTTCTCAACATGAATAAGCTGAGATTTTCCTGAATTTTACATTCTGCTGCCCACGTCCGTCCGCCCTTCTCACCCTTTAATGGAAGCCCCCAAGAGGCTCCTTTAGCCCCAGGCTTGGAGACTTATTGAGCTCGAGTTCGACCTTCACAGAACACTTGGACACAAGCCCAGCTCAGGCAAGTTCTTTCCACTTTATAACAAGGGTGGCTTTTCCTTCATTGTCCAATGACACCTAGCGTGACCACTTAGAAGAATGAGGCTTTCCCTACAAGCTCACTTTCAAAGCCTATCAGAATTAACTGTGTAAGACAAGGGGACAGTGTGCTCACTCTCCCTGCCTCCCGCCCTGAGGTCCTCCTGGCTCTATGTAGCCTCCCTCTCCCAAAAGGAGGTGCCTGCTGTTCCCTCCGCCTGGAACATCTTCCTTCAGAGAGGGCCACAGGGCCTTTTCACCTCCTTCAGGTTTTTGTACAGATGTCTCAGCCCCTATTTCCATTGGACGCTCCCTGAGCACACGGGCTCCCACCTGCCTCTCCCGTCCCTCTCCACCTGGTCTTCTTAGTGGGCTGTGTCCCTGTGTGTTTATTTTGTGAATTCTTCATCTCAGCATCCTCCGCCTCCCACACTTTAGCAGGAGCTGGGGATTGGGGATTGGGTCATCCTGCTTGCAGTCGTTTCCCTGTGGTGGGGGCTCGGCCACAGGCAGCTGATCAGGGGCCTTGGATGAATAAGTGACCCAACAAGAGACTTGGACATGAAGGTGAAGGGAGAGCCCCAGGGTCCTCCCGAGGTGAGTCAGGACTTCAGGGTTTACATGGTCTATTTTCCCATAGGTGTGTCATTTCTATGATAAGATGAAGGCATGCATGCAAACCATGGCGACAGACTGTCTTTTGGTGAACAGATGCTACCATGTACTGAATGTAAGTGCCAAGGTGTCTGAGTACCTAACCTCACTTTGGTCAAGGAAACAATCGGGTGACAGTGTTATGGTCACTAAGAGATGAAGAACAGACTCTGAGGTGGAGTCACTTGCCAATGTCTCAGTGTGAGTCCTTGCTGCAGAGGGGATTCAAGGCCAGCTGTGGGCCATCCTCACCTGCAGCGTCTCCCACTGAGTCCCACCTCCCGGCAATCGCAAAAAGACCCAGCTGCTCACCTGCATCCTTGACACCAAACATGTCCTGAAGCCAGCTCTCTTCTGTTTGTACCGACATTGGAACTCCTGGGTACAACCCTTTATAGATACTTCTGAAATCAGATAAGACGTCAGGTATAAGCAGACCTACCTGGTCGCTGGGAAGCTGCTGGGGGACTCTGTCTACTGTGGCTCTCCTCACGTCCCCAGAGCCTGATTCCCATTTTATTTGAAATACTTCCCTTCATTCCCAGTCTCTTCCACAGAGCCAGGCGCAGGGTCGTTGGGCCCACTCTCTGGAGGGTCTTCCTTCCTAACCCTGCAGGCTTCAAGAGCTGCCTCGTCCCCGTGGACACCAGCGCTACGCTGCAGGAGCGTGGCACTGTGTCACTGTGCAGCCGCTGCGGGCATGGAACACTCAGATTTAAGTGAGCACAGAGTGTTCATTTTCAGTAGCCTCAAAACTGCCCAGGCTCCTCTTGCAGGGCTGATGTTGGCCCATGTGCTATAAGGAGCAGGCTCTGCTTCCACGTAGTGGGGTCCAAAGTTGAGCCCTGCAGGACGGGGGCAGGGAGGCAGGTGTGCGTGTAGTGTGGTCCAAGGTTGAGCCTGCGGGAGGGAAGGTGGGGGAAAAGGTGTGCGTGTAGTGGGATCCAAGGTTGAGCCCCATGGGAGGGAAGGTGGGGGCAAAGGTGTGTGTGTAGTGGGGTCTGCGGTTGAGCCCCGCAGGAGGGAGGCAGGGAGGCAGGTGTGTGTGTGCCTTGCGCTCCCTACAGTGACTCTTACTGGGGACTACTGTCAATACTCCATTTGGGTTCCTTGTTCTCTGACTTTCAGTTTTACAAGATAACTGGTGGGTCTTTGTAAGTACTCAGACAACATTTTCCCAGACAACTCAGTCAGGTTCGGCCTGTGGCCTGTGTACCTTTCCAAGCTGAGTGTCTGTTTCTGGCTTCCTTTTGGTGGCTTGCTCCAGGGCACAGGTATCCGGAGGAGCTCTGTTGTTCCCTTCTGAGCTGATTGTGCAAAGCCAGGCAAAGCCCTCCTCTGCGGAGGCCACCTGCGTGCGCAGTCTCTGGGGGCATCCTGTTTACCTAGCCTCCCTGAGCAACAGGCTCTGGGGATGTGACAGCCACAGTGGACAGAGTCCCCAGACGGCAGTGAGCGTGGAGTCTGTCACCTTCCAGCCCAACAGTCAGCAACAGCAACAATCATCCACCCAGAGCTCTTCCCCTTCAGTAAGCCAGCTCCCCAGATTGTCCCTGGAGCTCTGCCGAAGATGGGGGACAGAGGATGATGGCGGCACCACTCAGGATTCTCACGATCACAGAACCCAAGCAGCTGCTTGTCCTTGCTTTGTGAGACACGGACACTGAGGCTCGTGGCAGCAAGAAAACCTCCCTTACCCAGAACCTGTTTCTCCACAGGCATCTATCTGCCTCCTGAGTGTGGCCCCATTTCCAACCCCAATAGCCAGAGGGTTGAGCCTCAGAGGTTGCTCTTTTAAGACACGTTTCTTTAAAAAAACAAAAGAAAAAACAACAAAACACTCATAATCTCATCAAATTCACCAGAGAATACTTTGGAAACATGTGATTTTTAAATCAGAGCTTGATGGTGCACTTAGTAGCGGGTTCCTCCCAACAAGCCCGCACGTGACACCATTCACAAGCTGCCTGCTCCCTCCTGCTACACTCCCTTTCTCATCTGTTTATTTATATCCGAGTGGTTCTTTTCACTTGTACCCAGGGTGAGATTCCCTGTTGTGTATTTATAGACATGACATGAGTTTTAAGACTTCATGTGCCTCCTGGTGCCTCCCCAATCCACCCTCAGCCTCTTTCTTAGCATGTCACGGACATTCCATTTATGATGCTGCCTCCTTCCTCCTCCTCTCCTTTATTTTACTCTAGCTGCCTTCCATATATGAGACAAAACATTCGACCTTCGAATGAGTTTGGCGTATTTCATGTAGCATGATACTTATTCTCTGCTTTCATCCATTTACCAGCAATTTTTTAAAATTTTTTAATGGCTGAGTAGAAGATGTGTATATATATATATACACACACACACACACACACACACACACATATATAATCACAATTTCTTAATCCATTCATCTGCTGACAGGTGTCTGGGTTGATTCCATGGTTTAGCTATTGTAAGTTGAGCTGCTATAAGAATCGAGGTGGCTGGGCCGTTGCAGTATGCTGATTTTAGGTCTTTTGGGAAGGGACAGCTGGGTCATATGGTGGTTCCATCCCCAGTTTTGGGGGAACCCCCACACTGCGTCGCAGGCGGGTTGCACAAGTCTGCAGTCCCACCAACCAGGTACAAGTGCAGCTATCCACCCCGCACCCCCAACCTCACCAGCATTCACTGTTATCTGTGTTCTTGAAGGCTGCCATTCTGACTGGAGTGAGATGACATCTCAGTGTAGTGTCCACCTGCATTTCCCTGATTGCTAGGGATGTGAGACATTTTTTTCATATATTTTTTGGCCATTCCTGTTTCTTCTTTTCAGAAGTTTCTATTTAGTTCTTTAGCCCATTTCTTGATTGGGTTGTTTCTTTTGGGTGTTCAGTTTTTTGAGTTCTTTATATATTCTGGATATCAATCACCTTAATAGTAACTGGCTAAGATTTTCTCCCATTCTGTAGGCTCTCTCTTCATGCTCTTATTTTCTCTTCATGCTCTTAATTATTTCCTTTGTTGTGCAAGAGTTTTTAGTTTGATGGCATCCCATATCTTGATTCTTGGTTTTATTTCTTGCACTTTGGGTGTCTTGTTAAGGAAGTCTGTGCCTGCACCTATGTGATTGAGTGTTGACCCTAACTTTTCTTCTGGCAGTTGCAAAATTTCTGGTCTAATTCCTGTCTTTGATCTATTTTGAGTTTTATGAAGGGTGAGAGATAGGAGTCTAGTTTTATTTTTCTACCAATAGCTATCTAGTTTTCCCAGATCCATTTGTTAAAAGGCCATCTTTTCTCCAAGATATATTTTTGGCACCTTTGTCAAATGTCAGGTGGCTATAGATTTTTGGTTTTGTCTCAGTATCTTTTATCCCATTCCATTTGTCTTCTTGTCTGTTTTGGTGACAACACCCTGCTGTTCAGTTACTACAGGTCTGCAGTGTCATTTCAGATCAGGTATTTCGATGCCTCTGGTTTTGCTTTTCTTGCTTAACATTGTTTTGTCTATTCTGGGTTTCTTATTCTTCCAAATGAATTTAAGAATTGCTTTTTTCTCAGTTCTGTTAAGGTATGTCATTGGTATTTTGAAGGAGATTGCTTTGAATCTGTATATTGCTTTTGGTAGCATGGCCATTTTGACAATATTTGATTCTGCCTATCCAAGAACATGGGGTGGATTTTCGTCTTCTAAGGTCTTCATTGTAAAGCACGTTTCCTCCTTGGTTAGATTAATTTGTTTTGTTTTGTTTTGTTTAGGTTATTGTGAATGGGATGACTTTTCTGATTTCTTCTTCAGCTGAATCACTGTTGTAGTATATGAAAGCTATTGATTTACAGGTATTGATCTTATCTTCTGCTACTTTGCTGAATTCATTTGTAAGTGCTAGGCATCTTCTGGTGAAGTTTTTTGGTCTTCAAGATATAGAATCATGCCATCAGCAAACAGAGATAGTTTGATTTCTTCCAGAAAAAAAAATATTTTAAAGCATCTTCTTAGGAATATTTATGAGGAGAAATTGAAATTCTGACCTAGGAAAGAGAGATGCTCATGGACTTGAAATGATGTCACAGGACTCCCAAGTCAAGATGACAGCTGAGGACACACTTCTCGTTACCTCCCAAGATTTTACCAAAATAACAGATACTCCCCCCCCGCCCCGAAAACTAGATATTTTTGGTAGGTAACTAATATGGAAGAAGTACTTAAGAGAAAGGCAATAAGTGGCTACAGAGTGACGGAAACCACAAAAGAGAATCATGCAGCTCAAGACTAGTGATGAAGGGTCTTTCCAGAGGGCACAGGAAGCCTCCAGCTCAACTCGACCAAACCAGAGCACAGGGGTCTGGCAGCCCTCAGAGCAGTCTAAGGAGTGACCCTGGAGCCCTTGTCCAGGCAGGCCCCTTCTTCCCTCTTCAGCAGGACGGCTGGCAGCCCTCATTTCCAGAGGAACCCAAGAGCAGCTTTCTCAAATACTGAGCAGTCTCCTGGGGAGGTGTTAGCCCTGGAAGAGAAGGTCATGCAGGACATGCCCCACGGGCTCGGGAAAGAAGGACTTCCACCAGAAAGTGAGCGTTCTTGTCCTAACTCTAGCAATGGTGGGGCTCCTCAGCCTGACTGCTTTCTGCCCAGACACTCCACCCTGAATGGGGCTCTGATGTGCTCCACCCAGCTGCCCAGGGGCTCCTGTGAGGGGACAGAACCGCCCAGCTGCAGGAGGAGTCCTTTCAGCCACCTCCCAGTCATTCCAGTACACAGACAACCAGGATTGCCAGTGATTCAAGGACTAGCCCTGAGGTGAAGGACAACCCACCCTGAGAAGACAGGGGAAATGCACAGAATAAAGGAGCACTTTACTACACTGCAATAGCGCCCTTTGAGAGATTAAAAAAACTATTGTGAATGCCAACTGGTTCTCGGAAATGAAAAATATGAATCACAAAATTAAAAAATTCTGCACAAGGGCTATACAGTAGTAGCATGCAAGCATCAAAAATCTTGAAAATGTGAAGGAAAAGCAGGGAAGATGGAGGAGCTATGGTCGACGTCCTGCAGGAGCTCTGAGGAGAAGAAGACACACGGGGAGTGGATCGTGGACGGTCAGCTGGGTTTGAGAATCAGCAACTCTGTACCAAGAGGGAAGGAGGCAGTATCCTCAGAACTTTGAGGGAGAGCAGTTTAAAGCGATTCTTTTCTGGTAAGATGTATCATTAGTAAATAAAGTAAAAGGGCAAAATGAAGACACTTCCAGGCAGACAGGAACTCAGAAATTTGACTACCCAGGAGACCTACACAAAAAAAGTCACCTGAAAAATCTCTCCAGCAAAGGAAATGGAGTAAAAGAAAGAAAGTAAGATGGGAATCAAGAAAAGTTGGGAGTTGAGCCCAACACAGAAAAACCGAAGGTAAATAACTTCATTACATGCAGG